AGAATATAATCCACTAACCAATTTCAATTACAAAATATAAACTATTATCTTTTTATCATATTTCAACTTAGATTTATTAAGCATAGATTATCAAACCATTTAAGGAAAGTGTAACCTATCAAATTATCATCTAAGTTAAAATCACTATTCATGATAAGAACAACAACATGATAATAATCCTAGAATTCATAAGCATAACCTATCAAACCATTTAAGGAAAGCATAGATTATCAAATTCTTCTTCTACCGATTAGTTCTCTAGTTGATTATCCTAAACATGAACATTTTAAGTACAAGAGAATAATTCATACAATATAAAGGAAATTAGACTAGTTTCATATAATTCTAAATTTCCTACAAGAATTAAATTCACATCTTAAGAAATAAAAACAAGAAAAAGAAGACTAATTACAAAATTAAAAAGAAAAGAAAAATCTAAACTATGAACAAGAAATAAATCTAATTACAAAGAAAATAAAAATCTAAACTACAAAATAAATTGCAGAAATTAAATGCAAGAAAAATAAATCTACTCTACAAATTAAAGTGCAAAAAGAAAATAAAAAAGACAAGAAAGTAAATCTATACTACAAGCATGAATTTAAATCTAACTAATAAGCAATAATAAAGAAATTACTAAAAAGAAATAAAAGAGAAAAGAAATGCAAACCTTCAAATTGCTCTTCATCTCCATCCTCATCATTCAACAAAGAGGAGAAAGAACAAATTTAAAGAGGAAAAAATTATTTTTATTAATTGCAACTAAAGTTACAATTTTTGGAAGGCCTTCTCAATTAAGAGTAGCCCTCCTCTCCAAAAGGAGTTTACAAAATTTTCACACCTCTAACCCCTCACTCTCTACCCCTATTTATAGTAAACATCAGTGAATGAGAGCCATTGGATTGAAATCTTATCCAAAAACAACAAATTTTAGCCATTAATTCGTAACAAACTGCCCAGCGTATCGATATCAGCATCGATAGGGGTATCGATGCTGGCATCGATACAGGCATCGATGCGGGCATCGATGCCCCCATCGATGCAGGCATCGATGCCTGCTCTTCTCCTGTTGCTGTCCGCAGAACTCTTTTCTTGGACTCTTGGGCTTGGGCTTTGATTTATCTCTTCATTAAATACTTGAAAGAATTCATTGGGTTTCATGGCTTCATTTCTTCATTAAATTATGGGCTTTTTGTTGAGAGATGAGGGTTTTGAGATTTATTCTTCATTAACCTGCAATTAAAGATAAAAACAATTATTAGTAGTATATTTATTCATATAAAATAGATAATGAGTGTATAAAATTGTAATAAAATATGATTATCAAACACCCCCATACCTAAACTCTTGCTAGTCCTCTAGCAAAGAAAGAAAAAGAAAATCCTAACTCACTTTCGCCGGAATCGCGGTTGTATTTAGCGCATACAACAAGCCTTTAAACCCCTAGGTTACCCTAGTGGACGAGTTATAGTCTCGTGAGGGTTTGCAGTGAATATACCCACAAAATTCGGTCAACTTGCCAAGTTAAATAAGTCAGTAAATAACAGATTTTCCTTGATATATTTAAACATTCTAATTGAAGCTAGTTAATAATCAAGAAAACGTTTTTATATATAACTCCAATGTAAATCCCCTAGAAAATCTTTTTCATTATAGCAATACAAAACCAAGTCAAATCTTAGAAATTTAATTAAAAAGTTTTGAAAAGAACATGCCAACTCTTTGTTTTAAATAACTTTCAAGTCTCTTGATCAAAAATTGTTTTTCAAGACCATATATACAAAACAACAATATATAAAAACAATTGTTAGTGTTATATATATGTATATTTTTTTCACTCTCTAATTCTTGGTGATTGTTTTCTATTTTAACGGGCTTTCTAAGTGACCATTTAACGAGTTTTGGGCCAATGAATCCCAACCCAATTGGGCTTAGGTCATTAAGTATAGAGATACTCCTTGGGCTTAATTGCTCAGTCAACTTAGGCTTTATAAGATAGAATCACCTTGAATTTAAGAGTTTTTATTTATTTATTTTTTTTGGGTGGTGCCCATTTTTCGCACTCTTCTTTTATAAGGTTAGTTTTTTTTAATATATATATGTGTAAGTATATATAGTCTTTAAAAAAAAATGTATAAATCAAGATAACTTGAAAAAAAATATTTTCAACTCTAAGTTAAGCATGCAAAAATTTCATTATTTTTAATTAAAAATCTAAGGTAAGACTTAAGTAAAGTATACTAGTTGAAAAATCATTTCTTAAGAATTTTATTTGGAGTTATCATAAAAGGTGAACTTGAATATGTCACTAACTAAGAATTAGAAAATTTAAAATCTATCAATTTGATCAATTATTACTTAACTCTATTAATTTGGCAAGTGACAATATTTTTATAATTTTTTTTAACAAAAAGAAAGAAAAATATAACTAAAAAGGTAAAATAAAGAGGAAAATATGTATTTCTCACCCCCACACCTAAATTTTGCATTGTCCTCAATGCAAATTCGCTGAAGCACAAAGTAAAGCAGATAAAAATGAAGAACTTACAGTTGTTCGGTTGACAATGATGATAAGAATCTGCAATTACTGTTAGTATGAGGATGAAGAAATCAATTAAGAGAAAAATTGTAAGTAATTATTTTTATTTTATTATTATTTTTTTAAAAAACAAAAGAATTTTCTTTTCTTTTTTTTTCTTTTAAGAAACAAAAGGAAAATTAGTTTTTTTATTATAGATAATGAGGTTCATGAAGAACCAACACCTCTTCCTCTCCGAGCGTAGAAAATTCTAAAAATGGTTTCAGACATTGACCATTTATTTTAAAAATATTACCATTTTTAGGATTTTCTATCTCGACAGCTCCATGTGGAAAAAATTGTTTAACAAAAAATGGACCAGTCCATCTTGATCTCAATTTTTCCGGAAAAAGATGCAATTTTGAATTGTACAATAAAACTTTCTGTCCTGGAGAGAAATTTTTTCGCAAAATTGATTTGTCATGAAAAATTTTTGTTTTCTCTTTGTAAATTTTTGAGTTTATGTATGCATCATTTCTAATTTCTTCCAACTCATTTATTTGGAGCAATCTGTTTTTACCTGCGGAGTCTGAGTCAAAATTTAACTGTTTTATTGCCCACATTGCTCGATGTTCTAATTCTACTGGTAGGTGGCAAGCTTTCCCAAACACTAATCTGTATGGTGACATCCCCAAATTGGCCTTAAAAGCTGTTTTATACGCCCACAGAGCATCACACAATTTTACAGACTAATCTTTTCTGTTATGTTTAACTGTTTTTTCTAAAATTTGTTTGATCTGCCTGTTTGTGACCTCTACTTGTCCACTGGTTTGGGGG